ATTAGCACCCGTTCAATAAAGTTGAACATTTTCAATTTATTTGACACATTTTCACCTGTACAGAATAATAAGCCATGGCAACGCAAAAACTCAAACTTAGCAAAGAACTATGCAATTTCAACTGTCGCCAACATGCAAGCTGATTTCCATCTTCCCCTTCGCCTACCGCCACACTGGCCTCCCCACACTAACGCCGGCCAATGGCATCAACGCCGCAACACTTTTAGGGAAAAAAACTTTTACCGCACCATTAAACACTGCCACTCAAAAGTCGGCACTGTGCGGACGAGGAACGGCACCAGGAACGAAGAACGACAAGAACGATGCCACTTTCTCGGCTTCTGCATTTCATATTCTTCATTTTATTCATTCGTCTGGAGAACATTTGACTTAAAAGGTACTTAAAATTCAAAAAAGTTAAAAGCACGACAAAACATCAAAGAAGTACCGAAAAATTAGTGCAAAGAAAGACAAAAAAGTTAGCGAAGAAGAGAAGAAAGTAGCTGCCGCGCAAAAACAAAAAACTAAATATTAGCAAGTTGAAAAAGTCTTTATGCGGGAGTGGAGGCGGAGCGAGATGTGCGGTTGAGGCAGGTTGTCCAAAGTCCAAATTCACAACAGCATAAGTGTCAGGCGTAAGCGCTGCGATGTACTACACAAACAGGCTGCGAAAGTTTGACGGTAAAAAATTAAAGGGGATTCATGAAATGTGCAAATACTTTAGTTGAACGATTTTGAAGCGAAGTGTCAGCCATCGCAGAAGACATCAAGTAAAACCCGCGTTACCTCGGAGGCAAAGACGACAGAGATGCGATGAGTTGATCGTACTGCTCACTAACAACAGTAGGCGGTAGTTAGTTAAGACATTGGCAAGGACATTGGACGGAAAATAATAAGCGCCAAGCGAATTAAATGCACACACTTTCCCGAATGGTGAATCACTCTCAGATAAAGTTTGCCAGAAGTCCCAACTTACGGATTGGAAAGCCCAAAGCTCTCAAAGTCCCTTTCGGTTGAGACTGAGCTCTTGAGGGAAGAAATAGAACTGACAAAAGTAAGGGTAAATTCTTAAAGGAGGTAATGTGTTAACCGCAAGGCCAGTGGAAATGAGCGGAAAGAACGAGAATACGCAGCTAAAGATAAGCTAAGTATTTAGCAGCTCTCGTTCTCCCACTCCACATCGGTTAAAACGTCAGGGTGCTCTGCCAGTCCAAACTACGATTCTTTTGTGCTGATATGCTCTCTTCTGATGCCAATGGGCGGCGGTCGCGGAGCCCGTTTTGGGTTTCTTTAATCAACAGCATTCATGTCAGCTTTCGAAGTGCCTCAAGTTTGGTTGAGAATTCAGGCCATATGAGGCGGCCATCGGTTGATTGCGAGCCGAAACCTTAAAGGAAACGAGGCTCACAACAGGCAATACAGAGAGTATTTCACTCCAATAGGCTTGCATTCAATCTTTCAATATATAGGGCGAGCTCGAGAAATGTGGTAGCCTTAAAGATTACTGACTGTAAGTCGACGGGAAAAAGTTTTTGTGCTCTGCATAAAGTGATTTATGAGTGATAAGTAGGTAACTCGAAAGGCAAATCAGAAAGTTGAGCAGCAAAGAAAACTACTTAGAAGTAAGCTAGTTCATAACTAGTTTATGGTTTTTGACGCAATCTTAGCCCATCTATGGCTCTGTAAAAGAACTGCTACCTTTTTGTCGTTGTACACAATTAAGTAGAACAGTTAGAGAATTCTATCACCTGAAAGTCCTAATCCGAACTCCTAAATGATATTCATGCCAATCTTGAAACCTGCAAGGGTTTATCTCTACAATATCAGACCCTTTTTAGAAGCCGTTTAAGCGACTAGCAACACGTAGTGCCTAAAGGTATGTTACACTCCAAATCAACTACTACCAAACCGGATATAAAGCGCGTATACAAAGTTATGTGCAAAGCTGCTTGTGCAAAAATTTGATAAAAGAAATTAGGCACATGCACTTCTCAAGTGCCGCATCCCAAAACATGTTGAATTCGCTTGATGCAACCCCCAAAAACTCCTCCGAAGTTTTCTTACCGAAAAAGCCACAGTCGTATCGACTCTGAATGACTTACAACCGTGAAAAGGTGGTAACTGTTGGCCACAGCGCCTACCGAACGATATTTTGCCTGAATAAATGTTTGTGTAAACAAATTCATCCTGATCCACTTACCTCTCTCACTGAGTTAATCAGAGACTAAATTAAAAAAATAAAATACAGGGGTAGACCTGTAAAAATGCTATAATTTTGGCTATTTTGATTTTTTTCATTTGAAAACATCAGTTCATTATAAGAACTAGTCAAGGAGTAAGAAAAATGTATTACTGTTCGAAGTAGCCATCCTTTGGGTTTAAGTCCTGTGAATATGGTGGCCATTGTTGCGAAGAAATGAACCTGGGAAGTTCTTTTCTAAAAAGCTTTGAATTTTGCAGCCTTTATGCGATGGTGAAAAGTCCAAAGATTTCTACCGAATTGTTTTCATGCACAAGGATAGATGTGCTGATTTACCTTGACGTCCTGTCCACTACGTACAGACTCGTACGTTTGCGTTCTCGTACTTCTGTGGATATTTTGTCTTCTTGAGAGCGAATGCTGCTAAATTCTCAGAATTAATTTTGCCCGCTCAATTCGAGTACACACCTGATAGCATTTTTAATTGGTAACACTTCGATTGCCCACCCCTGAAGGAAACTTATGAGCTTCGCTTTGACGGACAAAAGCTTAAACAGACGGCAGCATTGATCCGGATTAAGTCCGAGTTATCCGAGGATCAACTGCAGGTAGATTGTGGCATACCTTTTGCGTCTGGCGCTTCGCTGGCAAAGTTATAAATGTCACGCAAAGCGATAAAAGTTTTATCTGGCATCAGCTTCAGAAATGTATTGCTTATGTTTTTTTTTTTAAATTTATTTGGCAGTCCAAAAGTACCATTGGAGAGCTAGAGTGAGGTAAAATTTTCCTGCAATATTTAATTTATAGTAATTTTTTAAAACATACCCTCCGAGTTGTCAAAACTTTAAAGCCCTTCAATCCCTTCACTATGTCTTATGCTTCAAACACATTGAAAACGACGGTCCATGCGCCACAGGACACAACTGTAAATTGTTTACTTTCATTATCTAAACGCTTGTTTTTTTTTATGCGGAAGCGACATCATAAATTTCTATGAGTTTAACTAAAAGAAGAAAAATAGAAAAATGTTCAAATCTGAATACACCACAGTCGCGTTGTAGCCCTGTCGCCACGAAAATAAATGTCGACATAAGAGTACTATTAAAAAAAAGTTGACAGCTGTGGCCCGTAGCCCCTCTTTTCTTATGCGCTTCATGCATTATTTTGTTTTGTACCTTGGACAAATTTAGATACATATAATATAATAAAAAAAATTATTTTTTTTTAAGGAAATAAATTTTCAATTAAGAAAAACAAAAGTGAAATCGGCTGAGTTGCCTATTTTCGGTTTCATAAATGTACGGAAAATACGCACAGTTGTTTAGTGTTAAGAAATTAGCACTGACTTACTATTTTTCAAAAACACTTTAAATTTGGATTAGCAAAACGTGGCGTGAGGGTGGTAAAAAGAATGCAACCATGCAATCTAAATTAGTAGTAAATTTGCTAAATGTCAGTTGGTTCCCTTATCAGCACAAAAAGAGTGCACTGACTACACTGTCAATATGTGTAGACGTGTATCTCTTTCGGGCCAATGAACAGGCACATACATAAAAAACACTCATCTACTAAATACGATTCGAGCAGCACACATTCACTTGGCTGCTTCTCACTTACGAAGCTGTCATTTGCATAAATTTTCAACCGACACTACTTCAACACTTTCAATGCAGTTTATGTTTATGTTTTCTTGTTGTTGTTCACCTTTAATTGTTGTTGTTGTTGTTTGTTTAGCACTCACTTTAATATCACTATTTGCACAACTACAACTACAACTGCCACTGCTACAACTAAATACCTGAAAAAGAGTACCACTGCTGCCAGCCAGCCTTGTGCCTGAATTGTCCTAAATGCCGACAGTGTTGATTGTCATGCGGCTGCACTGTGTACTCTGCCGAGCTGCAAAGTGACTTCAAACTTGCAACGTTACTGCAGCATCAGCTACTTTTTGTTCTTCGTACTTTTTTGGTTATTTTCTTGCCTTTTGTTTAGAGCTGTGTACAGTTTATTATTTACACGTTACACCAGGCGGCAGAAGCCAACCGAGCAGCCAGCGCGCATCCAATGTCACCACAAGTGGCAAGCAACAGTGGCATAACAGTGCAGAGGGGCAGGCAGGACGGCATTACCGGTGGCAGTATTGGGCGCTAGCAGCTGTGGCTGTGGCTGTGGCAGTGGCAGCCTCGCATAACCTACATTTTAAGCCTCTGAAAAAGGATACACATATGGGCTTGCACAATTACACATACATACATATGTACATAAACGGATGGGTGGAAGCGAGGAAGTAGGGCTGGGGCCGTCGGTGGTCGGGTCGGCAGCACTGCAAGCAAATACTCTTCTTTCCTAGGTGGGCGGATGAACTGGTCGCAGCGCGCGGTAACGGAAATGTGTTGTGAATGAGCGCAGCTGGGGAGCCGCTGCGTATTGTTTGCTGAACGTGGGACCCGCACAACTACTGGCGCAATCACATACATACACACTTATGTGTGACAGAGTGTAACTGTTTCCAGTGTGACGTGTGCAGATTCTCCCGTATGCGAGCCGCAAGGTTGCAGCAACGCCACCAAGGCGTAATTTGCATAATAATGACAATGGAAACTAAAGACGATGTGTGTGCGTATGTGTGTATCGGTGTCTCATTTGATAGAGCAGTTGATAGAGTGTGTGTGTGTGTGGTGGTGGTTGTTGAAGGCTCAGTGCCATTTCCATGCGGGTCAGTGAATTCTCACAATTCCAGCAGCGCGCGGACGACCAGCTCATAGGTCCACACCACAATTCCAGTGGTAGTGGCATCTAATTACATGCGGCACCTGCCCATCTCTTTGCTGCCATCTCGGCCATCCCCTTCCCATCTTCCTCTCTTCCGGCCCACGCCCCTATCGAACATGGCACACTTTAGCCCCCATATCGTACCGTTGTAATGCACCGGCGTCTCCCGTGTGTACGTGTAAATCTTCTTGCTCGGTCCGTGCTGGTGTGACGACTGGCCGGAGGAGTGTTGCAGCATGATTATCACTATCAGTGCGCTGGCGCATGCCAAGCAGAGGAACACTATTACAGAAATGCACACCATTCGTTTTCGTTTGCGATCTTCCTCCTCGTCTTCGTCGGTCTCGTCGCTGGGTGATTTTTTCTTGAGCGCCTTGTGTGCACCACCACCACTCATGGAGGCTTTTCTCCCCGCCACCTTGTGATGGAATGGCCGCAGCACTTGCTCGAAGGCAGCGTCACCGAGTTCGTACGTCAGCGAGGATTTGCGTTCGAAGGAAGGACGTTTCTCGTCCATGAAGGCGGTGGCTGCCGCAGCGGAGGTCGGCGTGAGCGCTAGAGGACGCGGACTGCGCTTGATGTCGTCCACGGTGCCGCCAACCGCACTGGACAATGGACGACTGTTGCGTCGGTGGGGTGATGTGAGCTCGAAGTCGTTGCCTGACACTGCGGTGGGTGGATAGGCGCTGTCGCCGATGAAACTCTTTGACTTCTTGGTCGCACTGAGCGTCTCGCGGTACGTGCGCAGACGCATGCTGGCACTGTGTAGCGCCTTTGCCTGTTTGACGCTGGCGCTGGCGTTGGTGCCCTGGAATGCCGCCGCAGCGGCTAGAACGCTGGAACGCTGATGCACCTGCAGTTCTTCGAGGTTTTTTGGCGATAGGTAGAGAGAGCGGCCGTGTTGCGCACCGCGTTTGAAATGGTATGCGGCGGTGGCTGCGGCAGCGGCGCTGTGCAGCTGCAGTGCGTGTGGCTGGTGGCCGTGTGCTGCGGCCGCTGCTGCCGCCGCTGCAGCGGAGGTTGATGGGCGCCCATCGAGTTCGAGGCTCTGCGAGCTATGTTGACGCGAGTGCGGGTGCTCGCCGCGCTTTTTCAGGCTACTCGATGCCGTCGGTGGTGGGTGAGTGCCGCTGTGCACCATGGCTGCCGTGCCGCTGCCGTCTTCGAAGGATCCTGAGCTCTTGCGCGCTAGCAGTATGGCAGCGGCGCGCTGAGCTGCGGCTACTTCCATGCCAACATCCTCCATTTTTGTGCTGCTGTTGCTGCGCGAACGTGACTCTACGAAGAGCTCGTTTTCCAGGGAGAGATTCTTGGATGGAAAGAGCGCCGCCGCCGAACGGCCCTCCAATGACTCCATTAGTTCGTCGTTCAGTGATGGATGTCGTATTTGCGACTCGACTACCGACTCCGGTTTGATGCTCGGCCGGCGACCCGGGTCGTTGAAGGAGCGATGTGAACGGCAACCCCGGCGACTGGGTGAAGGCGAACGACTCAATTCTTTGCTGCCTGCGCCGCCGGGATGGCCAGGCATCAAGAAATTGCCACGCACTGAACTTGTGCGTCTACTCGAGGACGCCGAGGAGCCCTGCGAAGCGCCAGCGGCTGCTGCGGACAGCAACATCTGATCCATTGTGGCGGCAGAGTCTTGTTGTGCGTGAAACGAGTGGGTCTTCTTCATCTGAAAAGTGGAAGCCGGATGAACGTCAATGGTGTCAGAGCGACGAAACATATTCTTTTTAAGCGGGTGCGTGGCGCTGACCGTATGTCGATGCGACGACGGCGGCAGCATATAGTCATCGATGAATTGTATGGGCGAACTGCTGCCGCCTCGAGCGCCCCCACCTAGCGCGCCCACATCCTCACCCAGACTGCTGCTGCTGACCAAGTAGATGTCCGGTTGGTGCGCCAGCGGCACACGCACCGGCAACGGGCTGACCGCGTGCGATGTAGGCGAGCTTGTCGAGCTCGTGTGGTGATGCGCTTGCTGTTGTTGCTGCTGCTGACGCGCCACCATATTTTGAAACGAGTGTAGGCTGTGTTGCTGCTGGTGGTGGTGTTGTTGTCGTGCCGAGAGTGCAGGCGAGACGGCTCGGCTGCCGTCGCCGCCATGCATTTGATGCGCGGGTATAGTAAGCGTCTGCGGTGGTGCGGAGCGCAGTGGTAGTGGCGATGCGGACCGATGTATAAGCGGCTGTTCGACGATCAGCGAGTCGTCCAACATCATCGTCGGCGGTGAGTTGGTGCCGCCGCCGCCGCCACTACCCACATGCGGAGCGTAATTATCGATGGCCATTGAGAGCGAACGACTGATGGCTTTCAGTTTGGGTGGCTTCTTTTTGGTAGCGGGATTGTCGAAGGAGGACTTGCCCGGCGCGTTGTACTCATACTCGACGACGTCAGCAGCGGTGGCGGAGCCGCCGTGGTGGGTCATGTAACTGTGGCCAGCAGCAGCGGTGGAGGCGGCGGCAGCATGCGGATGATGGTGACTACTACCGCTGGCGCCGCGCTCCATACGGTAGTAATAGTGGTAGTAGGGGTGCCTATTATTATAGTAATGTGCAATTGTGGTGCTGGATTGGGGTTTGACGGGCGGGAAGGGTTACAATTACAGTTACGGTTACGGTTACGGTTACGGTGTACAAATAAAACAAAATTTACGGTGGCGGTGACGACCAAGGCGGTGGCTGCTACTTTTACTTGTACTGTGACTTTTACTTTTACGTTTACGTTTGCGGTGATAATTACGTTTACGCTTACGTTTACGGTGACACTTAAAGTGCGTTGGTGTGATGGTAATTTTGCGTTTACTTGCGTTACTGGAGGATTAAAAAAAGCTGAAGGTTGGCTGGAGGTTGTGGTTGTGGTTGTGGTGGTGGTGGTGGTGCTGGTGGAGGACTGGACTTTATAAGCAAAATTAGTGTTGGTGGTATTAGTGGCGATTAAATTGAATTGATATTTAGGTGCTTTCTAGTGATGGTGGTTGGTGTCTTTGCTAGCTGGGTTGCTTGGGTGCGTACTTTTGGTTATATAATTTATAATTACTTTACAGTATGAGCAATATCAAAATCTATATATATTCGTGAGCGTACACACACACACACAGATACACAAATATCGTTTAAAAGTTTGTATTTGATTATTTGTGTACTTTGAGTTTTGAGCGTTCAAGCATTTGAGCGTATAACTGAATTGAGTGAGTGAGTGAGTGAGTGAGCTAGCGAGCGAGCAATAAATCTAAATAGCATTAGCCAAAATTTTTCTACTCAAAATATGTACTCAAGTTGTCTAAATGTATTTAGTATTTGGCATTTTTGTTTGGTTTCTGTTTCTGTTTCTGTTTCTGTTTTTGTTTCTTTTTGTTGCTTGGAAGCGCATGCGCGTGAGATTTATGTTACGAAATACGATGTAAGCAAGCGTGCCTGCGTGGGTATGAGTGAGCAGCTACACGCTGCATACGAGTTTCGGTGGGTGGTGATGTTGTTGTTACCGGCTGTGAGCGTCGTACATCTGAGAGCGAAACTATGAGATTAGGTGCGAGCGAGTATAAAGCGCGTATTTGGCTCGCGAACGACTCAAAGTGGTGTCTTCGGTGTGCTGTTGAACGCTCTGCGGCCCATTCAGCTATACCACTTGCGCTCACCTCTTATGGACTTAAGTGCTGTTCTAGTTAATGTTGAGTCGTTTTAAAAGTTTAAAGGTTTTTTGCTTAGAGGTTAACTTTTTAAGTTTTGTGCATTTCTAATTTGTTCTTATGCTCTTTCTTTTGTTATTCTCTTGCCATAATTACATTTTAATTTAGATTTTAGATTTTTAGGTTTGGTGTTGGATGTTCGTTTTGGCTTTAAAAGTATAGTATACATTTATTTTTATATATATATTTTTTTAATTTTTAATTTGTGCTATCTCTTTTTATACTTTGCATTTATCACTTGGTGCAAGCTGTGTTCTATTTGTTGCTGTTGTTTCAACATAACCATTTCGCTTTTAAATAAAGACAGTAATCACAACTAGAATTAGAAGAAAAAAGAAACACGTGACACAAATACAAATAGAAAATATTTGACTTGTCAAAAAAAAATGAATGCTGATGGAAAGTGTGTGTGTGTGTAAATGATGTAACTGAGAGCGTGTATAAGCGATGAGCCCATAACTGATTGAAGAATGCGTTCATATGAGTGTGATTTCGAACCAAAGAGGAAAAGTATTTAGGAAGAATTACTTGAGATGCGATATTTAGGAAAGTAATTGTGAGTTTCGATAGAAATGAGTGCGAAATAAGAGTACATTTTAGTCAGTGCCAGAAAGAAAGTGCAACATATAAATGTCATACCTAAATTAGCGCTTTGAGCGTTGTGCTTGTGTGCTCTCTTTCTACAGCACATACAGTTTATATACATCAGAAGAAGACAGGCTGATAGGTGCCACACCCAATGCGCTAAATTAGGTATGGTCCTAAGTGAGTGTGAATGAGCTTATAAGGAGTGAATGAGTGATTTGATAATAGTTGAGCAAAAAACATTTAAACAAATAAACGAAATTTTTTTTTTTGAAAGAAAACTGGAAAGTTTGGGTGATGAAAAAAGTGAAATACTACAGTATACTTAAGGTCAGCTATTGAAAGTTTTAGAAACATGGGATTGGTTATTTGGAGTTGATATTTAATATTTTACGAATTTTAGGTTTGCTTCCCTTCCGGAAAAAATAATCATGGAAAAAAATATAGTTTAAGGCAAGATATAGAGAACTCATAAAAAAGGCTGGGTTGTTTTCGGATTTTGTAGGCTTTTGTTTTTGTTTTGGAATTTTTCGAATCACTGAGAAAAAAACTACAAAAGCTACTCATTATAATAAATAGCATAAAAGTAATTAGATACTTATCTCTATGATCTTAGAAAAGAAATTTTCTTACTTTTTATTAAATAACCTTCCCTGCTTAGGAAAGGGCTATGTACATTCCAAATCCATGGAGGTGGGTCAAATTAACCTTCACACCAAATACAGTTAGGGCCTCACATGTTTCCCTAAGGGATACCAAAGTAATCAGTCCTTCGTAGTTTCTTTCAAAAACGCTTAAGAGACAGATCGATTTGCACATAAGGGGTTGGGATCCCTAGAGGTCGTTTGTGCTCAAATCAGTCGGCAAGGGCAGATGACTAGAATCAGTTTAACACACTGTTGTAGGGAGAACTAAGCAGATTATATCCATGGAGGACTTAAAAGAATACAATATCTGAAACCGATATCATGGAAAATTATTCACGGGTCGATCAAAGTTGAATGAAAAAAAGGGATGACGTTGTCTTCAACAACTTCAAATTTAAGCTTTCGAATCGTTGATATATTTTTCAAGCGGAGGTAGCCGCCATCAACAAAGGAGCCGATACGTATGAATGCAATATTTTTTACACTCAAAAATGATTTCTAAATCCGCCGCTTTAAATCACTTGCTATAAGCCATATTTAGATTGCAGGTTACTGCGATATCAGAATATAACTGCATGACCGAGGGATTAGCAATCCTAAAGAATTGTTACTTTTGGTCTGCTTCTGGACAGTGGATGGTTTTTAGATAACCTCCGTGAAGACTGGGCGAATATCTTAGAGTGCAAGGTCGCCAGGTATTTCTGGTCACGGATCGGCCCGTGGTGGTCTAGGGAGCTCTTAGAACTAGACAAATTACATCTAAAGTTGCTGATGGGTGTTCTGACTGGTTATTATTCGAACGGAGTCCCATCTAGGTCTCAAAATCACCTAAAAAAAAACTCTACTAGAGCGATGTATGGAGGATGATAAAAAAATCTCCTAGCCAGCTGTCCGAATTTTGAGGTGAAACTTTCTCTGCGAATAAATTTCTTATTGAAACATCACGATTTTTTCTATGAAATATAACCTTTCGAAATTTATCATCAATCAATAAAACAAATTTTTGGGAAATCACAATAAATCAATTAGTACATACATATGTATACATATACAAACGTGGTGTAATTTTGTAAAGGATCTTAATGATTTAGCAAATTACAGAATTGGTTTATATTAGGTATATCTAATAAACAATTGAAAGTATAGTAGACAAATATGTGCACACAATGAAAATGAAGAATGGGCCGAGAGTTGAGTGCAAACTGAACCAGTTTCATTGAGTGAAACATTTTTAATAACTCTTCAGAATATATTTGGAATAACATACAATTTAGAAAATTTGTAAGTATGCATGCACTTTAGGGTGGTCCTTAAAATATCAACATCAAAAAATAGAGACAGCCACGAAAATTTCAAAGTTAAAAACATTTACGGTTAGAGAATTTGGATTTCAATGAAATCGCCAAAACTTTTCTTCGACCAGCTATAACTTAAAGCGTGTATGAATTTATATGAATAAATTTCAATAATATGCCAAACTAATCAGATTCCAAGTCAAAATTTTACCGATTTTTTGGGAATAAAAAAATTTAATTTCTTCAAGCCGTGACAGCGACTGTAAAAATTTGTTAAAAATTTTGAAATTTTCGTGAATATCTTTATTTTCTACGTAGAACAAAATAAAGGAGTGCCTCATACAAAATTTAGATGTTGATATTTTATGGACTATCCGAATGTATTACATACTTGACAATTTAAAAATGTACATCGACTTTTATATGTAAATTTTTAAACATTAATTTAACAATGTTTTAATTTTTTATTGTTTATTAGTTATTTACAAGTTTAAAACATTCATTTTATTTCCATATTACATTTTTCAGAATTTCACTGTTGTTCACATTGCTAATGTAGAAATTCTATTTTCCCCCCTACTAAGCATGCACGCACGCACATGATTGATGGTTTACCTGCTAACCAATGAACCGCTAACGCATTCACAAAGCGACATAGTTATGTAAATGTTTCATCCTCCATATCCAACTTCGTTTTTACCACGTTCATTACTCACATTTCACACTTTCCACCACAACTTTCTCTGCACATTCACTCACACAACCCGCTTCAAAATAAGACAGATCCTACTACCGCAAAGCGTCCTCCGTAGTTGACAGGCGAGCGCCATAAATAATTCGTCAGTTCGTCAGTGTACGGGCGGCTGTGCGACAATTTGCTGCGTGTCGTGTCGTGTCGCCTCTTGTCACACAAACTCACCTCTCGACTGCTGTGAGAAATGCAATTTATTATCTGTATCTGTCCCCACCATGACGGATATCCGTTAGTTTTTCGTATATTTATGTTGTTGGATTTTTATTGTTTCTATGTGCAACTCTTGAAAATGACTTATTTGCTCGTCTTCATGTAAATGTGTGTCTTCTTTTGCGTACCGCCTGCCCCGTCGGCCTTTAAAATATCTATACATCCGCTGGAGTCGGATTTCCGTCGGCAAATGTAATTCACCTTAACAAAATATGAATGCAACTTCTTTTTGAATGTAGTATTCAAATTTAAAATGTTGAAAAAAAATTAATTTCTAAACTCTAATCAATTTAGTCATTGCTTGCCGTTCAGATGTGATATCTTTGCAAT